GGCGGCGGCGACCGTGCCCCGTTGTCCCGCAGCCATGGAGATGCCGTTGCCGCCCGACGGTGAGCGCGGCCCGGGCGGGAGGGAAGGGGAAGGGGAGGTGGAAGGGGAGAACGGGGACGGTGGGTTCTGACGGCGCTGCTTCTTCACAGACCAGGAGCTGCGGAATGTCATCGACAAGCTGGCGCAGTTCGTGGCGCGGAACGGGCCCGAGTTCGAGAAGATGACGATGGAGAAGCAGAAGGAGAACCCCAAATTCTCTTTCCTTTTCGGGGGCGACTTCTACGGCTACTACAAGTACAAGCTGGCCCTGGAGCAGCAGCAGCGTGAGTGGGGCCCGCGGCTTACGCGGGGCCGGCACAGGGCCGCGGCGGGCTCTGCTTCTCCCCCCCCCCCCCCGGCCCCTGGTCCCCGGCCCCCGCTGGCGGAGCCGCTTTTCTCCCTCCCGGCCTTGCTGTGACCCGCCAGCCCTGGTTTGCAGCCTCCTCCCGTCCTCTGAGCTCCAGGTAGTTGGCCGAGCCCTGCCCGCGGCTCTTCACGCCTTTCCCCCCACTCCCCCTCCCCGTTTGCGGGTTTTGGAGGTAGGCAGGGCTGCACCACAGGGAGACGGAGCTCAACACCGGGAAGGGCCCTCGGGAATAGGATGGTGCAGCGCAGCAGCAGCAGCTCCGGGGGCTGCTCTTGTGTTGGAGTCATTCCTCTCGAAGCGCGGGAGGAGTTGCTGACGTTCCTCTTCTGCACCATCCACCCTTGACTACACGATTTTTGTTTTGTGTTAAGCAATTATGCGAGGGTCTGTTTTGGAACCGGCACGGTTTTTGTGTGTGGGTTGGTGGTAGCAGGTTTCTCTGTGAGGCTTACTTTAAAAGTTTGCTTTGTCTGATGATAGTGTTGTGCAAGCAAAGTCAAGATATTGAGGCCACCGCACAGATCCAGCCACTGCCACAACCATCTCTCCCACCAGCTGCACCTATCCCAGCTCCTCAGGGCACTCCTTCCGTGGAGGAACTTATCCAGCAGAGTCAGTGGAATCTGCAGCAGCAGGAGCAGCATCTCCTTGCCATGAGACAGGTTGGTTGAAGATAAGCGCTCACCTGGTTTATCCTAGACTGCCAGTGGCTGTAGAAGTTAGGAGCAAAGCGGGAGAAGAAGGCTTCCTTCTGACTAGTGGTGGTGAGGACGAGGAGTATTACTTTGCTTATTTTTGTTCTGTGGTAGCTGCCGTCATCTCCTTACAACAGACGTATCTGATGTGCTAGTGAGATTGATCTTTGGTTAAAACAGTTTATTTACTATATCAAAAACTTTGTTGGTTTGTAGAGCAGAAAAAACTGTGACTGCTTTAATCTTTGTTTAATGCTGCAGTTGCTGGGAACTGCAAGACATTCCAGCCTGTAGCATTCTAAGGTGGTTTCTGATTAGGGGTGGAAGGGAACTGCGTGCTTTGAACTAGTTGGTTTTTGCAGGTGACGTTTTGCTGTTAAGACTAGTGGGAACCAAACTGAAGAGTTCCTGGAGGAAAGCAGTATGCCTAGATTGTGTTCTATACATTTAGGAGCTTCCCGCAATTATTTTTTGCATGATGGAGAGACTTTAGAGGTGAAAATTAACTGGACTTTTCGGGAAGAATGAGAAGAATATTCTCAAAGACAAATAACTGAAACATTTTTATGGGGTCACATTGCTTGTAAAAGGTCTTGGTTTTCGAGCTAATTGCTTACAGTTAAGAGGACAGGGATACAGAGGCTTAGTTCTTCAAAAGAACATTGGATGTAATATAATTCTTTTTTTGTTTTGTTTTGGTTTTCCTTCTTTTTTTCAGGAACAAGTCACATCAGCAGTAGCCCTTGCAATTGAGCAACAAATGCAGAAGGTTTTGGAGGAAACTCAGTTAGATATGAATGAATTTGACAACTTGTTGCAGCCAATAATTGACACTTGTACAAAAGATGCAATTTCAGTAAGTGACCTAAATCTGAACAGTTATTTGATGGTGTTGTGGATTAAGTATAATTTGAATGTTGAGATTGTGTGTATAGTAAACAGCAGCTTTATTGTTGTGTTGTATGGTAGGTAAGATGATAGCTGTTACTTGAAAACTTCACTTCTTGCAGTTATTTCAGAGTTCTAGGAAGTCCATATGATGTGAACATGTTAGACTAGCTTAAAATATTTTAAATTTGCTTTTCTAAGGCTGGCAAGAACTGGATGTTTAGTAATGCAAAGTCTCCTGCACACTGTGAGCTGATGGCTGGGCACCTGCGAAATCGTATAACGGCAGAAGGAGCTCACTTTGAGCTTCGGTTACATCTAATCTACTTAATCAATGATGTATTGCATCACTGGTAAGAATTAAATTGTGGGTTTTGGTTTGATGTTTTGATTAATTTGGTGAAGTCTCTCTCTGCTAGATACATTGTTAGTTTGACTTTTTATCTTTAATGTATTACTCATTTTTAGCAGCTGTCTTAAGATGTCTATAGCTGGCACAAATACCTAGTGCTTTAATAATCAAATTCAGCTTTTACCTGCTTTGTGTATTTTCCCTCCAGACGAGACTTGACCGTAAAAGTGTAGAGAACTCCATTTTATGAATCCACTACTTCTAGTATAGCAGAAGTGGAGATGAACTGAATGTTACAGTGCTCTTAGTGTTATAGCGAAAGGCGGTAACTCTTCTCTTCCCATTCCTTTTTTGAAGCCAGCGGAAGCAAGCACGAGATCTCCTGGCTGCTTTACAGAAGGTGGTTG